ATCTCCATTTGCATATTGTCAATCAAAGGTCCTGTTATTTGGTTACTCATGCAAATTAGGCAATTGGACATAAACATTGCCACGTGCGAGTGTTTATTATTTTTAACCAGAAAATAAACAGCAATTTTAACGGTGTTCCAATAAGAATTCATTGGTCAAATTTTCACAGAATGTTCTTTAGATAAAAATCTATATAAAAAACGAAAAAAACTATTTTTGATTGAAATTCACAAATAAACTGCATCTCTACCTTAAATGTAAAATAACATAAAAAGAGATGTAATTAACGCTTTTCGGGGAAGATCTGAATCATTTCTATATACATTCAAATAATATAAATAAAGAAAATGTAATTACCGGTTTCCCTGGAAGATCCGATTCACTGGCTAATACAATATTCCTATCTGTCTTATGAGTAGACAGAAGTTTAGGAGTGAATGGTAAGTTCCTGATATGTTGAAATGTTTGTCCCATATTTATAGTGATCCATAAGTCCTTACTACCAATGTCTGTGAAGATATACTGAAAAATAAATTAAGATAGATGTTAAAAATTAATAATTACTAGTACATTTTGTGCCAACAGACATTTATATTATGTATAGTGAGTGTGCTACAGACGGGAAGGTCAATTTCACTGGGCGAGATTCATTCACTAACGAATGTGATTTTGAGGGAACCTTGGTTAAAGGTCTGCTGGTGTCACCTGGCACAAAAACTATTTTAAAAAAAAGCAAAAATAACTGGGGGCTAGTTATTTATTCACCAAGCATACAGCGTTTACGACTGCCATGAATGATTGTCATTCACTGCCTGTCACAAGATCGACCTCCACGGCAGTTTTACATAGTCATTTAGGTGTGACATAAACAGCATTATATTTTACCCAACTGTGACCAAACACGGTGCCCAATTGATTTAAAACTGATACATGCACAATCAAGTGACTCCTCAGTACCACAACATTTTAGTGGGTTACCAAATTTCTAGATGTCAGTGCAGTGTCGTCCTTCTTACCTTACCCAAACACAATACACTACAGCTGTTCATGTAGAAATCCTAAATAGAATCCAATGTCACCTCCCCTCCCTTCTTCTGTCCTTATCTCACCCAAGACAACTTAACTTAACGGCACTATGGTAAAA